GATATGTTTTGTGAACTCTTATGTAATTTGGAATTCTCAGGTAATTTGCGTTTTTGGGCTACCTAGTCCTTCTTTTGTTGTATATATGCATATCTGGGATGCGTTCCACTGGGGAACATATATTCCCTAATGTGTTGTATATGAGTTTCTTCCTTTTTCAGCTCTTACACTACAGTATACTTAAGACACGTGCTCCAGTATTTAAAGGAAGCTTTTTGATCCATTTAGTTTGTCACGGGAATTAGGAGGGTCTTTCTTTTCCTATTGACATATCGGCACTGGGTTTTTGGAGGACCAGAAATGCACATTCCAAGGTGGAATGCATACCGTGCACATGCCCAGGTTTGGGTAATTAAAATGAGTCTAGAATCGACTTTGCCATTCATGCATTCAAGAGCTTAATGTTTTAATGCTAAACAAGAGCCCCCAGCAGCCCATTACCTCTGTGGTGCTTTGGCTAATGAGCAAGCATTAGATTGATGGTTATAGTGTCTCCATTGATCCCTTTAGTATATGTGACCATTGTGCCAGGGCATAACACCCAGAGATTTAAAAAGTAGTAAATATACAGTATATTTTTTCTGTTTAACATGTTGTGTGCATTTATTCATAGACTCTAGCTGTGCCCATTGTGCCAGACACAGCGTCCATGATTGAAATCTCGCATATAGTAAATATATGGATAGGATTTCCCTGTTGGAAGCCACCAGTCACCATCCATCCCACTTGCTGAAAAGCATACCCATTATTTCATATAACAGAGAGAGAATTACAATAAACATTCTAGAGATTTGAAAGGTGGTTTGAAGATGAGCGTGTGAATTGTATCTAGTATCTTCCAGTCATTGAGCACTTTGTCTCTCTATAGTTTGGTCTTTCAGTCTGCAATGTCATTGCATTCCTCATTGTCTATTCCTGTCTCCCTTTCACTGCTGTCCCATGTTTGTTCTTCAACCGGTCTATCTCCGGGAGTCTACCTTATTGGCACCGTTCTTACCATTCTCCTCATTACCATATTGCACGGGTAGGCCATAAGCTGATATTTGATGAGGTCTTTGCAGCTCTCTCTAGCAGGATGCAATTAATTATGGCAGTATATATCTGCATGTTGAGGAAGCAGCCTCATTGCCAGTTGGGGGATGCTGAGTCTACTCCTGAAAAGCCCCAAGGTCCGACTTTGGCATCCTTCATCGCTAGCACAGGGTCTCCTGACAATCTCCAAGTAGAGGTGTTACTTTTCCCTTATTATTAAAATGAATAATATTGAGATAAAAATAATAGAAATAACACCTCTTGTTTCAGATTTTCCAATTATTCCTTCCATTGATTATCTCATCTATGTCATTATAAATGATCTAATGATGTCATATACAAGAGGCAGAGGTTTAAGCCTTGGGTTGAAATCCTTTTCTGTTTGCCGCCTACCAATATCCCAGTGTGAAGGACTACGAGTAGAACAATGCTAGTGGCTGATACCTAAACATGGACTTACTTCTGATTCCTCATAGACATTGTACCACAAATATATGTGGGATGAGCTTCCATTATCATAATAGGCTGAAGTCCAATGGTGGCCTCTTTAAAATAAAACATAAAAACAATGAAATAAAAATATCAGTCGGGCAAATCTGCTTTTTATAATATGGTCAAACATGAAACTCAAAAGGCAAACCTCATAAGGCACAGGCTGCCCCTTCCCATCCGAAATGTCTGATTGGTCAGTTAGTCCCTGTCCCCAAATTTCATAAAATCCCTTTTAACGTTGCATTTTACCCCTTGTTTATTGCAATTGTAGGTGAGAGAGAGGCCTTGAGGTAACTATTCAACCAACCACAAATGCCCCAAACTCCCCCATTTAAAAAAGCAATGACACCTTAATTATTATGTCATACAATGACCAAAGACAATACAAATTTAGAAAATACATGGCAAACTTCTGCACGTGCTTTGGAAGTCATTGGGGATGCAACTGAAAAAATATATATATTTTTTGATATACTGAAAAAGAAAAAATATATATAAAATAAAAATAGAGTCAACTGGAAAATGTGGAGAAAAGACATGATCATTGCACACAACAGCTCTAGAAAATGTCTCTAATTCACATTTCCAACTAAGCTATTTTGACCGACAATGTGTAAGTCACTTGCCTATTATCTCCAATTCTCACTTTAGTAAATTAATTATTTTGTAAAAGCTAAATGCAAACCTGCACAATAAGGAAACAATTGTTTAATTTTAAACAGAATAAATAGAATTAACTGACCTAACTGTACTTGCAAAACCTGCACTTGCAAAATCCTTCAGACACTCTCAATTATAAAGTAGTCTTCCTCTAAATCCATTAAGCTAAATTGCATTCAGTAAAAAAATCACACTTTCAAAAATGAAATAAAAAATAAAAATAAAAAAACCTGTCTGAGCTACACCATGAGTAAATATTTAATGGATCAGGATTAGATATCTGAGTAAATTTCAAGGCACTGTGGAATGTGACATTAGGCATCACCTGTGTTCTCTACACCCTCAGTTGTAACAATTTAAGCCATTGTATGTTTTTTCACTCATGTTTGGCCTTACTGACAGGGTAGCAATTAATTGTTGGAGAATAACTGTGCGGGTGTATAGATCGGTTGTGCCCCCTGGCGGATGAAAGGGTGATAGATCGTTTCCCTTCTTACAGCAGGTTAAAATTATTAACCAATTTCCTCTATTGATCATTGAAGAAAAAAGAACTCTTTCAGGTTTTATTTCTTATCCCACTGCGACCCCCTGTGGCCATCCAATTGCTCTGCCTCATTTGTATAGCATTTGTTCAATTCCAAAAGCCTGTTTGTCATCAAAAGACAGATTTGCTGTACGAGACGAATATCTTAGGCCTTAGAACTGATCTAAAAACTGGCTGCAAACTTGCAATCAATCAAGGGGCATCTGGAGAATAGGGGTGGGAAGGGTGGGGGGGAACAATGTAAAAATGTCAGGTCACAGAAATCACAACCTAACAAATAATAAAAAAAAAATAGTTTAAGTATTTCAATTGAGTTTAAAGCTCCTTGATAAAGGAATTAAATTGAATATATATATATATATATATATATATATATATATATATATATATATATATATATATATATATTTTTGTGCAATGATTAATTATAGTTTAATTGTGAATCCTGTATCTGACCTAATTGTGTGTATGCTGATATTTGACAATTGTGCATATTAATTCATATGGGAAGTAAAATGCATGGGCACAGATGTGGCATTATTATAGGACTCTGTATTATAGTAACTTATAATTGAGAGAGCAAAATATTAAAATATATATATCATTGATATTTAAATGAGATCAATTGAATTTTTAATAGTGTTTGTTTAATATTTATATCTCTGTGTTTGTACTACATACAACATACATCCAAAGCAAAGCATACCTTTATTACACACATACACACACTCACACACTCACACTCTCTCTCTCTCTCTCTCTCTCACACACACTCTCTCTCTCTCTTCCAATTCGTACATATTTGTTGAAATTCTATGTGGAAAATCTGTTGTATTGTGAAATTTAATATAATTTTAAAATGTTATAAAATAGGCATCTCCTTGCCGTGTCAGTGTTAATGGTGTGGTGGGTAAATAAACTATGGGAAACAGTAAGTCACCTTGTAAAAATAACAATGCTAAAATAATTTAAACCAAACAAAACATTTTATTTGTGTTTGCAGAACTTGCATTTCATTTACCAGACAAACCGAGAGGCAAAATATTGGATATACGGATTCCTTTTTTTTTTTTAATTTTATCCATAAAATGTTTTAAAATCACACGTCTATTTGGTATAACAAGACAGAAATGTAAGCAGTAGATAATAATTAGAATGAGTTGATAATGTGCAAATGTTTAGCAAGACCCAAGTGAAATATTTAAAAAAAAAAAAGATTCATATGTATACATATTAGAGTCTGGTTGTGTTTGAGTAAATAACCGGTTTTTACAGCATGCAGCATATGGGATGAAGGCGATAAACCAGTTCTATCATTTGTCAGGGATAAAATGGCAGTGTTGAGGCGATTTATGCTTACCCAAGCTATGATTAACACAATTTAATGACGAGGCAGAAGCAGATAAACAGAACGCTGAATTTTAACTCCTTATACCTTTTGTTCGTACAATGGATAAAAAAAACCAAAACAAAAAAAAAAAAAACCACATTTTAGAAAAAAAAGATATATACTGCAAAAAGTGGGGGAATTAAAGATTCTGAGGAGTTCGAAATGAAACCATTTATCTCAAGGGCAGTTCTGCGTAAACCAAAGAACTCTGCTGACCTCTGGTGGATGAAATAAAAAATGATCTTCACTGTTTAAAAGCGCTTTCCTCTTCACTGGCCAAGCTGATTACATCTTGCTATCTTATTAATAATGTTGGTCCAAAACAAAGCTTAAAAAGCAATAAAACTAGATTGCTTCCTTTCACAGATAGCGATAGCTGAAGTGCATTTCTGAGATGTGGTTACATTTGGATTTTATGCGGGATGCAGGGATGATTTATGGTCTTAGCTAGAGTGTCATAGTGCCCCTGCACTTATAGAGTCACAAGTGCATATTTCCTGAAATATTGTACTACACAGCAACCGATGCACACACAGAGCCACACTACACCAGGGAAGCATAGCCAGCAGCAGCTCATCTGCTGAGGATTCCAACTCCCATCAGGCCCAGTCAGCCTGTGGCTAGCTCAGCCATTTGAGAGTTAACGTCAACAGTATCTTCCTCTGCATTTCTTCACTGCATAGCACAACAATAATGGCTCATCTTGGCACACCAGATGTCTGAGGACTACATTTCCCGTGATGCTCAGCCTTCATTTAGGCTGTCTGGCTGTGCATCAAGGAAAATGTATTTTCCACACATCTGGTGTGCTAAAGTTACCATCATTGGCATAACATATCCCCATTTATTCCATATTCTCAAGAGCCCCATGATATAACAATACCTATAGAATGCCAGGCAGTGACCTTACGCGTTACTAATTCTACCTCCTTCAAAGTGTTAATAGAATTCTAAATCGCTTCTTGTTTTCTCTGTGTTAGCAAATCTCTGCTAATTATCCCATTCACTAGAATTCTATCGCTGGGAGCTTATTCACTAAACAGCAAATTCGACCGATTTACTAAGGAAAAAACTCAAAATATGACCCTAAAACTCACAATTTAGTGAATACACCCCAATTCTACTGGCGTTTTTGTTTGTTTGTTTGTTTGTTTTTTTTAGCATTAAGTGTGTTGTGCAAAGTCTTAAAACCCAATCTATACATAAAGTCTCGATGTATAAAATAAAATAAAATCATTTTTGACATTAATTCTATTTTGCTTCTCCGTTTTAATTGTAAGCATATTTAATATAAATGTGGACAAATAAATATTATAACTTCATTATTATTGAGTTAACACTAACAGCTAATGAGGAGTTAATTCCCTAAGTAGTTCACAAAACAAATCAAATAAATATACACAAGGTGTGTGTCTTATTTTTTAAAAAATTTAAAATATAGGGGAGCCATTAAGGATTCCTGGGTTGCAAATACTTTTGGTAACTGACTGATTTTTTACTTTAATTCAGGCGTAGAACTATGGAGGAATATTATTATTATTAATAATAACAATAATCATAATGATAATTTTTTTTTTCGATCATTTGTCCCTATAAAGACAAGTCAGGTTTTTTTTTTGTTTTTTTTTTACTTTGCAAATATTGGATTAGCTTTTTTTACAATGGCCAAGCTTTTGAAAGGGCCAATGGAACCAAATTAAGGTTTGAACTAAGCCTTACAGTCAATAGGTGTAGGATGTGAGTTATATGTCCTGTTTAAACTTGTTACCTCTGATCTTCTAAATAGTCTCCAAAATTACATTTGTACCCCTAGACACATTGACTTTCTAACTCAAATCATTTTAAAGGAAGCAATGTATTGTGTCTGATCAAGTTAACGTACAACTGGTGTATCTAGTTTCACTGCCTATGCCTGCAATATTGTGTTAGAGTCCCTGCATTTAAAAATAAATAAATAGCAATTTCCTTCTGTGAAGGGAACCTGAAATTTTATCTTATTAACTTAACTCCAGCTAGTTATCGATCCACAAAGCAGATATTCCACAGACCTCTATGATGATATAGCTGACTATAAAACAATTGAATATAAACTGTTTTTCTCACTTATATTTAATACTGCACAAATCAGTTTTCCCAGCCCTCTTGAAAAAAAAAAAAAAAAAGGAAAACAAAGGATGAAATCACTCTTACACACACACACACACAAAATATCTATATCGTGTGAAATTATTTTGAAGGACGAAATACAAGTGAGGCATTGAAAGTGTTGATAATATACAGAGACATTGTATCGCCAGACAGTTTAAATAAGGATCTAATAATGACATTCATTTTTTTTTCTTTTCTTTTTTTTTATAGGGTCATTTTTCATATTTGTATAACCTCAAGCAGAATCAGTTCTTTTTCTTGTCGTTTATTGCAGTTTTTTTAAACGATTTTCCCAACATTGTGTTAATGTGTAACAGACTATAGCGATTACAGGGGCCAGCAGGTGCATCAGTAGTGAGAAAGTAAAGGTACAGTTGATCCCAAATTTTCCTCTTCAGGTCTGCCTTTTCTAAAACAAGGAAGACATGGATAGAATGGGTCAGAGCTTCTTAAAATGGCTAAAACACCATTAAGATTGCTATGATGAACAGTTGGTTTTATATTAACACTGTAATACTAGGACAGATTAATCTTGGCAAGGCAGGTATTTTGAGGACTACATCGCCCATGGCTCAGCCTGTCAGAAAGGCTGACCTAAGCATCATGGGAAATGTAGTCCTCAAACATCTGCAGTGCCAAGGTTAGAGAATGTGGACTATTGTGTCTGAATAAATACTCTGTTAGCCTCTAAGAAGCTTCAGGGGGAAAAAATGCTTAATGAGCGGATCTACAATTATGATCTGACTGCATAAATTGTCATTTTACTATATTTTATGGTTTAGGGTCTATAGAGAGGCAGAATCTAATTTCCTGTTTGATGACAGGGAATGTTGTCAGTGGCAGTCACAAAAAAGGGGGCCTTTTATCCCTTAAAGGATTTTTCTTTTCTCCCCTTCCACACGAATAAATATAGCACGAATTTTTAATTCGTCTTCCTTTCACAGACAACAATGCTGGTTTTGAATGCTGGACACAATTTGGGTTTTGTGAGGGTGTCTTTCTGCCCTCCCTCAGCCCAGCTGTCCATATGGAGTCCAGCGTGTATAAGTTGTATGACAATGGTAGCAAGTGACAAGTAGCACAAAACCCACAGTTACTTCTCCCTGACTCTGGGATGCACTGCCCTGATAATCGAATTGAATAGCATCCCAAAGAAAGGCAGAGGACAGAAAAAAAAATCACTATCTTTCTCTCTGTCCCCCTGTGGATCCCTTTCATTTTGCCTCCTTAATATGCACGCCTCTTACATCCTCAAGTACAGGCCTTTCTCATTGTGTGGGTTTGTAACGTCTACTGTATATTGTTCAAAGATAGACTGCGCAAACTGCCCCATTAGAGTGTGAAATTTAAGGCCAAGGGGTTAGGGCCACACAGGACTTGGCTGACTTTATTGACTTAGGTACAAGCCCAAACTGATTATTATTATTATTATTAGTAGCAGTAGTATTTTTTGGAGAATTTTAAAGAATGTAGAACAGCAGTGTTTACCAGAATTTAGAATGTTTATGTAACATTCTAATCATAGAACGTTAGCTGCTGTCCTATATTTCTACATTTCACTCCACTGTTTTACCTACATTATTAAGCTACACGTTTGTTTTTGTCTGTTTTATAAGCTGGGTTGAAAAAAAAGGGGGAGGGAGGGAAGCTTGAGTTGGTTTCCAAATGTCACTTAAATAAAGACTGTTATATTGTTTATGCGTTTGGTTTAAGGAAACTGTATATTTATATTTATAAATATTACCAGCATTTATTTCTAAGCTCAGAAAGCCAGTAAGAAATAGCATTTAGCTGTGAATCCAATACTGTGGTACAGTAAATATTACGTATTTAATTTTTAGTTTTAACTAAGGTTTTATGAGATTTATTTTATAGAAAAATAAATTAAAAAACATAATTAAAAACACTGCAAAAAAAAAAAACACACAAACAAGCCAACAAAAAAAAATACAAGCATTATTTTTAAAGTGAAATCGGTATTATCCTAATTATTAAGATGCCACTATTATAATTAGCGCTTGGACGTACATATCTCTGAGCATTCTAAGTGTGAATTCGATGTAATGTCACAATTGAGTTATGAAAGCCATTTAATGCTGTCTTGCAGAGCGCCAGTGAAGTTCTTAGGCAGGTAATATTATTAGCATTTAATTAGATCTATTTGTAGGAGCTATTCTCAATATTCTTTGGGGACTCAAACATGGCAAGGGAGATTGTGTTCATACAGGTCAAAATATACCATATTCATATTATATAGGATATGCATACTTTTTGTTCATTTATATTAAATACCATATACATATTATATATCATATATTTATTTATTGTTATTTTACATGATATACCATATATACATATTATGTGCCAGCAAAGCCCACAGTTAGTACAACCTTATTGTGCCTGCAGACCAGGCAAGAAATAAAATTAAAATATTATTTTAAGATTAATTTTTGCCTCTACTTTATAACCCAACCTGGTTAATAATAATCGGTGCCTCTCTTTAGCACACCAAGCAAATAACAGCTGTATAAGGGTATTTAAACAAAGACCCATTTTTATTTATTTTTTGCCCACTATATAAGAAAATATTTTAATAGTCTGCGATCTACTTACTTTATTTGAATAGGAAGGGCTGGGAGATGAGCACAGTCAATATTTCTGCAATAGCATAAACACAGCAGCTCTCGTTGAACTTTCTGAATTAACCACATGCAAGTAAGAGCTGTTCAGATTGTATGACACTGAAAAGCTTCCTAACTGAAGGGGCTCTTTGCAGTTTAAGTGAGTGGGGTTTATTTCTCACTTCCAGTCACTTTACCATTTACTGCCTCTCCACACAGATAAATAGAATAAACATAACCAACAGAACACACTGGGCTTAATAACAAGCTAATAATAGCTACATCAGCGCTAACAATGTACATAAATATATATATATATTCACTCCTGTTCTATAAACCTGGGTGGGATTGAGATTTAGAACGTTGAGGAGACAGATATATTTATTTTTTTTATCCAAGAAGTCAACCACACATTATTTTTTGAAACACATCATTTTTATTAAAATTCTTATAAAAATTGAAAATCTCCCACGGGTGCGCTTTTTTTCCTCCCCCCCCAACCCGTTTTTTTTAAAATGTTTTAAATTTGTTTTAAATTACACATTATATTCAACTGTATATCTCTATGTAGCATGACTTTTGACGTTCTGTTCTCTAGTTTGTCGTTTTGGGAAATATTTTCATTAAAAAAAAAAAAAAAAAAATGCCCTGAAGGTTACTGGTGCCAACAATAACCACAAATATTTACAAAAAAAAAAAAAAATACCTAGTAGTTGTCATCATTTTTTACATGGCCATAAATATTTAAATTTTCATATAAAAAAAAGAAATAAAATTCTCTATATTTTAAAGTGTTTTTTTTCCCCACTTGCTTTATATACGACTGACAACATTTTCTACAGCACACAAAGATACTTTACAAAACAAAAAATAAAAGTAAAAAAACAAAAACAAAAACAAAAAACAACGCATAAGTGAAATAGTTCTTTCAGGTTTTTCCTCTTTTTTTTTTTCTTTGCTTGGCATGGTAGCCTTGACAAAGCAAACTGTGTAAACATAAAACACAAAAATACCAGGGGAGCAAGGGGAAGGAGGTTTTGGGAGGCATATGACCTCCATTAAAAAAAAAAAAAAAATCAAGATCAATAATAATAATATTAATAATAATAATTATAATGTTTCTTCCCCCTCCCGCCCCCCCCAAATGTCCTTTTATCACCAGCCCTCATTTTTGGGAGCAGGTCAGTCTGTGACTAATGTTCACCACGTCCACTGCTGGGTTTGCACCAAGTGATGTGCTGGGTACTGGGGGTTACTGGCAGAGCTGTACTGGGCGTTGTATTGCATGTGCTGTAAGGACTGGGCGCTATATGCAGAGAATGGGATGCCAGCCGGGAATGTAGCTGCTAAGTCCTGAGCTTTGAGGGTGTGACATGGTTTGCCATCCCTGACTAAGACAGGCACTGCTACCCGTCTAGGGGAGGGAAGAGGGGTGACTTCCATACCTTTCTCTGCCCTTGCCCTCTTCATCTTGTACCGGTGGTTCTGGAACCAGATCTTCACCTGGGTGGGGGTGAGTCGGATGAGGCTGGCCAGGTGTTCCCTCTCAGGTGCTGACAGGTATCTCTGCTGTCTAAACCGCCTCTCCAACTCGTAAGTCTGAGCCTTGGAGAAGAGCACCCTCCTCTTCCTCTTCTTCCCAGAGTCCGGGTTGCTTGAACTTTCCTTGTCGTTGTCTGGGGATTCATCAGCAGAAGGTTCTGGGGATTTGGGCGAGGAGTCTTGCTGGGAATTGCTGGATGCAAATCCATGTACTGCAGACAGTTCAGAAAAGGGATGTGAGTTTGCAAAAAACATTCTACTTTGTAACTAAACATTCTACCTTAAAACACAATATTCTACTCTGTAACTAAACATTCTACCGTAAAACAAAACATTCTACTCTGTAACTAAACATTCTACTCTGTAACTAAACATTCTACCTTAAAACAAAACATTCTACTTTGTAACTAAACATTCTACCTTAAAACAGAATATTCTACTCTGTAACTAAACATTCTACCTCCATACAAAACATTCCACTCTGTAACTAAACATTCTACCTTAAAACACACTGCCTTCATAGATACCATTCTATTTTGTAGCATCCAATCTTATAGCATAACATTCTACCTTATGCTCATATAGCATCCTATCTTATAACATAGCATCCTATCTTATAGCATAACATTCTACCTTAATGCTCATATAGCATCCTATCTTATAACATAGCATCCTATCTTATAACATACCTTGTATAATTTTGCCTTGTAACTTGTAACATCTAACATAGCTTTCTATCGTATAACATATTCTGTCTAATAACATTACATTCTACTTTATGATATATAATTCTACCTTATTAAATGTAATTCTGCTTATAACATGGCATATATGTAGCATCGCATGGTACCTTATAATGTAGCATTCGACCTTACATCATGGCACCATATAATATAGTAATTATATATGTAATTATATGTTTATAATTAAAGAAATACATCTCGATAGTTAACAGAGTAGATGGCTACATAGACATAAAAGTAGGGGATAGATAAATAAATAAATATATAGATAGATCTATAATAGAACCTAATTAATTATGTTTGTAACTATAATTAAAGGGCTGATTTTACATATACCCGTATAAAAGACTGATCCATTAATTAATGTTATATATCTAGGTACTTATATAATTGTATATTTATATATATAATTGTATTATATTATTTTATTGTTTGGCTTTAAATAAATCTTCCTACACTATTTCATTTTTTGTTATTTAAGTTTACGCCCAATTTCACCAACAACATGCTTGAAAAATACTAAATGCCTTTAATAGCACGAATTTTGGACTGCGCCTGACTACTACTTTTGGTTCAAGATACGTGAATTGATTTCTAAAGAATAGTCAACAATTCCTTCATTGACGAACACAGCCGTAGCCTCGTGTAGGCATTTATTTTACTGCCAAAGGGACCGATCTTCCAGTCTGCACAAAGATCCATCTGTGTAAAGAGTTTGTCAGTCTTTATCTTAGAATGTGAACTTTATCTTAGAATAGCCATTTTGCAATGGAACTGTCTCTCTGGGGAAAAAACTAACTGACATATACTGTTGCATGCAATCTGGGCAGGGGGTAGTGTTATATTGATGATAGAATCATTTTCTCTGATTTGCCATTGAATTTAATGAAACAAAACGTGTGCTATAAGAATATGATGCAGACATTAAAAAACAAAAAACAAAAAAAAAACAAAGAATAAAAATAAAAATAAAGGCAGTTAAGTAAACAAATCACTAGAATGCTAGTACTTACACGAATATTGGATGCTTTCTGTTGTTGCAAGCCAACGAGTATAAGGGTTATCAGTGCTGTCATAGAAAGGATTTTTCAAAGGTAAGCTTTGCACTGTTTCTAGGGGGCTTTGCCCTAAAACTCCAGATTTTTTGGGGGGTTCGGGTCCATCTGAGTCTTCATCTGCACCTTCAGCAATGGAGCCTTCTTCATCATTGGTGTCAGGCAGATCTAAAATGTCTTTCACAGAAAAGCCAGTCTTTGTGTTGGTTAAAGTAGACATTCTTCTGAAATGACTGCAGTAAACTTGAAAATACTAGTATGCCCCCACCAATCCTCTTTGTTAGAAGAATAACAACCGCAACCACAACAACTGCAAAAGGTGGGCACAAAAATGAAAACCATAAAAAATTAAACAACCTCCAAAAAACAAACAAACAACACAAAAAACTGCAAAAAAAACCCCAAAAATAAAATAAAATGAAAAAAAAAAATAAAAAAAAAAAAAGCCCACCAAACACTATGACACACACAAACAAACTTGAGAATCACAGGCAAAGTGATAAGGTTTTGTAAATGTGCTGTGAATCAGCCGTGATTAGTGGATTCAGGGAACACCAGGGCTGTGAGTGACTAGCTGGTGGGAGAGTTTGTAAGTCCAAGACCAGGAAAAATGCCAAAGTGCCTTTTTACATCAGGATCTGGCTTTAACACCCTGAGCTGCTTGCTGCTTGCAAAAAATAAGCCATTGCTGCAATGATCACTCCATATAAGGTTGTTCCCCACACATGAACCTGCAGAGAAGAGAAAAACTACATTAAAAAAGCCAAAGCTGGCCACGTGTGGGCGGGTCTTAGGAGTCAAGTGGATGAAGACAGTGTTTGCAGATGTGAAATTGTGGGTTTTGGGGAGATTCGAGCTTTTACCATTGGTGCTCCAATGCATGATGAGTGGTGTAACGTGTCAATTAATTAGAAAGATGGGGAGGGCCTTTTTACATTGTATTTACATACAAAGCATCTCCAAGTAGGCTGATATCCACTGCACTTGAAACCACGTTTAAACAAATTGTCTGCTAGTCTCTCTCTCCCCCCCCCCCCCACCCCTCTAACTAGAAAAAAAAAAGTCTCCACTCCACTCCATATTCTTTACTGGAGTAAAATAATGCAGCTCTGAAGCCAGATAGGATACTGAGTATTTACACAAACATCTAGCATCCGAATTCATTCATTTAAAGAAATCGCTCCTTACTTAAACTAGAAGCCATTCAGATGGCAAGTGACCAACTTATGTAAACCTCTTAGGTCAATATTGTGGTTGGGGCTTAAGGATGAGTAGTGTACATTAAACAGAAAGTAATTGATTGTACTTTGCTCACAAAATAAACCTGAGAGTGGAGAAATGTATCTATTCGGAATCCTGGCCTGTTTGTTTTGTTCTTTGTTTTGTGTAATAACCCAAATCGGTTCCTTATTTACATTCATTTGCTCTACTGCATCACATCGCAATGTATTCCATTTAATCATTTCTCACCTCGTTCGTATGTTTCAAATATAGATTCTCTAAAACGAAACATTACATCGTATTGGGCGCATCATTCATTTACAGTCAATAAACCGTTACAATGTAGCCAATTATATACAGACAACAATAACCGAATGCAATCCAAGGAGTATATGGAAATGGAAAAAATGTATCAAACGCACTAACAAGCTATTTTTTTTTAAAGCGGTTTAAGGATCATTAAATCCGTTTAATCGTACATTAGATCCTGTTTTTATATATATATATATACAATACACACACACACACACACACATACACACACACACACACACACATCTTTTGTTTCTTATAATTAAGGGCTTTGTAATTTAGTGGTTAATATTAATAATGTGTATAATTCCTATGTTTATGTTAAAGAAATGCAACATTTCAGTTACCTATAGGTATTTATTTCCATCTGTAAATTTAATGTATTTCTATAATTTGACATAATCAATGATGATAAAGTACTACTAGTGTTGTAGAATAAATATTTATTTTTATTAGGTCAGGGAAAATAGGGCAGGTGGTTAGTAAAAAATTAAATAAAAAAAAAAGGGGGAGAATTAAAAAAAAAACATCTGGGGCAGGATTTAGGGTAGAGGATGGGGAGGAAGGCGAGGGTTATTTGTAGAAGTTATGGGACATTCTCCCATAACTGTACCCCAGCCTGTGTTACAGAGGGGAGAAAAGCCACGCTGTATTGTTTATCAGTTTTATTTGTGCCTCCCATCCAGTATGTGATGTGTGTGACAATACATCAGGTTTTAGCAAGCTCCCTGCACATCCTGGGTGGTCGGACCTAGGCAAACACAAATACAAACCGATTGCTAAGCTGCGGACAATGGGCGTAATGTAGACAAATGTCCGGCTTCTCTTGGATGCTTTTGTGGAAGCGGAGTTTTTGCATTTATTTCAGTGCCAGAATAATGCGTGATTGACGCCCTCTTACAATGTATTCTAACTGTTTGGGATAAATTCGAGGTTGTTGCTAGTTGTCATGGCATTCAACCCATTTCAATGGGGGCTATCTCTTCATTCGTTTCTCAGTCCTGCTACAGCATTAACCCTTTCCCAAATTGGCCAGGGTGCTCTATAGAGGGGGGCTAATTCACTGGTCCTGGGGGACAAGAATGGATAAAGGGATTGGGTACCTGCATCAGCCATGTGAAATTAAATACAATAAAAAAGACATGTTGCTATACTGATATTTATATATAGGTTTTTAAAAAAAAAAAATATATATATATATATTTTTAAATAATTTTTGGTGCCTTGTACAGCCATTCACACTGCACTCACCATACTGAATTTTTTTTTTTTTTTTTACATGTGTTTAGTTAATGCCAAGTCTATATACTATTTTAGAGCTATGTAAAAACAAAAAGCCACTGACCATTGTGGGTGAGCTAGCTATGGAAATATAAACAGTATTTAGAAAGTGGAATCTACAGGAATTCCTGGATACTGTATCGAATGTGGCGCAATCAACCACTGAATTTGGTATTCCCCCCAAAAAAATCCCAAACTACTATTTCTTACTTCTTTGCCTATAAATATATATAAACATATTGCCATTAAAAACTGAGACTGTATCATTGTATTAGTGATAGTGTTAGTAGAATCCTGAATTGCTGTTTAGCCTAACTGTGTACCTAGGGAGTTACACATTGAAGCACTATTGACAGTCAGGATAATCAAATGACTTGCTGTTACATCTCATTATCAGGAAGAAGCCAGGGCTAGAATCTGTTTTGCCCTTGCATTATACAGAACCCGCAGTCTCTGCTTTGCCTTAACCACCTGATAGGTAAATATTTTCCTGAGAGAAGACAAGGACTTAAGGACCATTAGTCACATTGCACTTAGATGACAAAGCACAATTGAAAAGAGTGAGAAAAAAACCCCACAGGGACTTCATTCATTTGGACTAACTCCCAGCCACCAATAGGTTATATATTTGCCTATATGCTAACATGCTAGGAATTCCTCCCAGATCTCCCCTTTGTGGCTGATGGAGGCATTCAAATTCACTCCAAGCACCAACAGAGGTCATTGTCTGGATCAATACTCTCTTTATGAACGTCAAATCTCAGGATGCTCATCCAACCAAGACTGACTGTGCATCATGGGTAGTGTAGATTAAAGCATCTGCAGATGTTATTTATTTAACACCGATTTAAGAATGAAAAAATTAAAATAAAATAAAGTCAATTGTAACATTTTATCTAAAATAGTTGTATTGTGTCAATAAAGGAGATTGGGGAATTTTCTAAATAAGCTATTTAGGCCTGAATCTTGCAATTTGTTCTTCAATCCACTATAATTCGGTGTTTCGTAAACACATTCCCAAAGTGTTTCAGCTGTACACTTCATGTAAACTAATGGAAACAATGATTGTAAAAATCAGGCCTAAAACACAAAGAAACAGGACTAACTGTCAAAATCAGGTATATTACAGGATTGTACTCAGATTGTTTCTAATTCAGCTTTTTTGATCCAAAGCTTAGACAATTCTCCAGAATTCTCTGTTTATAAATAGAACCTGTATGAGGAAGGGTCCATTATATATTGCAGAGGATTAGGGGTTAACCACATACATTTATACATTTAACAATATATTCTAATGTAAACCAGGCCTCTACTGGTTGGTCAGATACAGGTAATACAACCAGAGGCAGATTATTACACATACAATATGTCTCTATATATCATGAAGGCTGTGATTTATTTGTTTTTGGAATGTAGTCGCTTGTAATCGTTATATTATTTCAGAATCATTCCCTAAATGTTGCCCTGCTGTCAAATTCCCTTAGTTTTCAATTCACACACGGCTATGATCTAGAATCTCAAATGCAGTTAATGCAAAATTAAAAATATGTTTTTTTTATTATTAATATTTCATATTGCAGTGTTCTCGTTAGTTTTCGGTTATTACACAAATACCATTGATTGCCTGTTCCTTTTATACTATTTGACATATTGGATTTGCATACCAAATAGTTAATTTTGATGAACTGAACCCCTAAATTTCACAATATTCATATATATATAACAAAGCTGTTAATTTAGCTTAGTTGTTTTTTGTTTTTTGTTTTTTTTCTAATTCGATTTTTATCACAAGTTTGGAAATGCAATTTCACATTAAATGTATCTCACAGGGTTAATTTGGTTGAATTTGAAGCTATGTTTTGCTGTTTGCTGACTGTTCCTATCTATGTTTGTCTGTACGATATATTATCATGTGTGTCTGTATGTGATGTACACGCATGTCCATGAATTTCAGCATGTATGTGTCTTTGCTGTGTATTTATCTCTCCCAGCCTCTGTATTTGGGATAATAGAAGGATACACTGTATTTGGTTCAGTTGTTACATTTGTAAAGTACACAGTGCAGAGCAGGGATACATTGTAACACCATTGTGCTCCATAGCAGTTAGCGTTAACCCTTGTATTCCCAGGTCGGCTGCTCATCTGTGAGCTTGTCCAGATTATTTAACAGACACAAATCGATGGTTATGGTTTCAGGATTTAATGAGTATGGGCTAAAGGAACATAGCGGACACTGCAGAAAAAAGAGCAGGATCTGTGGACTGCATGGATAAGGGGTTATTTAAACAGCTGAACAACGAGAAGGAGCTCTAAATGTGACTGTGATAAGTGGTTGTACTTAAGGTCGAGTGCTCTCTGGGAGTGTTTACCTGTTTACTTTTACAGGTAGCTTTAACTCAAGTCATC